AATTGAAAGCAGGTAAGAGAAGAAAGGAGTGGAAGAAGATGCCAAGGTTTGTGTTCTCCACCTTGACAAGTGGAAGACGGAGCAAAAGGAGGCAAAACTAGAAGGTAAAAATGATAGTGAGGAGGCTGTGCTACGGAATAAGGAGAAATGAGGAGGAGCTGAATTAAGGTAATGGCAGTGGGATGGTGGAAACAGCAGGCATCGTCCAAAAAGTATCCAGAAAGCAGAGTTAACAGGACTGGAGGCTGAACTGGATTTGCAAGGTGAGAGATGAGCAGGTTTAAGATGACATCCAAGACTCTGGCTTGAAGTGGGTATTATTATTACTGGCATCACAGGAAAATGGAACACAAAGAATTTCTATAAACTGTGCAAGGTCTTAGAGGTTAATATAATAATTTCTAGAATCAGGATTTGAACTCAGATGTGTTTGAACTTACAACCTGAACTCCTAACCATTGCAGGGGCTTATCTAGAAGAAAGGAGGCTGCAGGTTGGAAAGTATTTCGCAACACTGTCTGTCTCTGTCTCTCAGTTCACTCAAGTAGGCTGCATGTAAGGACAGTCCCCTTAGATGGGCGAGGCAGAAGGGGAAGTTAAGCCAGTAGTTTAGCCAGGAGTTCTTTCATTGCCAGAACTACATGTTACGTGCTGTGCTTTTGTGCTCTAGAAATAAGAGCTCTAGACAAGTCCCAGGCTTTCAGGTGCCACTAAAGATGATATCTTCTGTGGATTTAATAAGGAAGGGGATCCTTCCTTATTAGCTAAGGTGTACTTGAGCATCTTCCCAAGGAAAGCCCTTGACTCTGTTCCTGCCCCTCCTGTAATATCTCCTTTCCTAAAATAAATGCAAGGAGACAGCCTGCTGTGGACCTCACATTATATTCCTGTCTAGCTACTGCCTCATCACTCTTCTCTAAAAAGTGGCCCATATTCTGTTGTCCCCCTATCTTTACCTGTCTTTTCTTTGGAACCCACACAGGCTTTCATTGGCTCCAGATCCACTGTCTGGCCCTCTGTGCCCCCCCATACTGCTAAGTTCAACTCTCAAGAGTTTTTGGCTCAACTGGCCATTCTCTCCTTGTAGCACTTTGTTTTAAATTCTAGGTTTTACTGTTATTTGGCTTTGGTAAGGCCAAGAAATCACAAAATGACTGCCACTAAAAATATTTTTTCTACTCTTTCCCAGGAGAAAGGGACCTGCTGCACCGCAGGGGGGCACACAGGGAAGCATCAGGGTCAGACCCGAGGCAGGGGGAGAAGGGGGAGTGTGGGCAGGTGCCTTTATTGTGGCTTTCACAGAGAGGACTGGGCAACACGGGGTGAGCAGGATAAGGACTGGCTGGTTTGAATCATTTCAGCAGGCGCTGGGGCACTGGGCTGTCCCTTATTATCTAGTACCTGGCTCTGGGGTGATTAGGGCAGGTAAGTAGTGACACAGAGTGTGAGAACCCAGTAAAAAAGGTGGTTGGAGGTACAGGTTCTAGACTGTTTGGTGCACATTTGAAAGACAAAGTTCTTTGTTAGTAATTGGTTAAACCTAGGAGGGGCCATCCCTCCAGAGTAGTCATCAGTGCCTGTATGTCGAAGCATCAGAACACAGAAAATAAAAGACATAGCTAATTTTCCCTTTTACATTTTCTCTCAGTCCTCTTTTGCTAGTAGCCTCCCTCCCATCGATAGTCGTTGGAACGCCCCACATCTCAGTCCTTCAACACTTTCTCTTCCCTATCTCCCTTAAATGATGTGCATCCCTATGGCTTTAAGTAATGCTTACATATCGATGGCTCTGCCCCCAAACTCTAGAGCACCTGTTGTCCAACTGCCTGCTGAACATTTCACTTGCACGTCTAATAGGCATCTCAAACCAAATATATTCCAAACATAGGTCTTGATTTCTACTCCCTAACCTTCATCTCTCTCTGTCTTGTCCACTTAAATAAATAGCACCTGCATTGCCCTAGTTACTCAAGCCCTAAACCTAGAAATTTTACTAGATTTTCCTATTTTTATTGAACTACATATCTAACTTGTGAGCAATTCCCATAAGGTCTTTTTTGAGAATATAGGTGGAAAGACATGTGTTCATGGATTGGAAAACTAAATATTGTTAGATGGCGGTATTTTCTAATGGTTATACAAACATAGTGCAATTCCTATCAAAATTCCATCTGCCGTTGTGTGTGTGTGTGTGTGTGTGTGTGTGTGTGTGTGTGTGTAAATGAATAAGCAGATCCTAAAATTCATATGGAAATGCAAGGGAGCCAGAACAGCCAGACATACACACACACCACATGCACAGAGACATAACACAGACCAAGCATGCACACACAAAATCTTGAAAAAGGATGAAGTTGAAGCCCTGGCTGGCATAGCTCAGTGGATTGAGCGCAGGCTGCGAACCAAAGCATCGCAGGTTCGATTCCCAGCCAGGGCACATGCCTGGGTTGCAGGCCATGGCCCCCAGTAACTGCACATTGATGTTTCTCTCTCTCTCTCTTTCTCCCTCCCTTCCCTCTCTAAAAATAAATAAATAAATCTTTTTAAAAAAGAATGAGGTTGGAGTACTGACATTTCTTGATTTCAAAATTTATTGTGAAGCTACTGTAATAAAGTTTATGGTACTGACATAAAAGAGACATATGATTCAATGGAATAGAATCTATGGGTAACTGACTTTTGGTAAGGGTGCCAAGACAATTTAATAGAAAATGAATAATCTTTTAAACAAATTGTGCAGGGGCAATTGGATGTCCACACGTAAAAGAATGAATCTGGAGCCTTAACCTCATATCATATACAAACATTAACTCAAAATGTATCAAAGACCTAAATATAAGAACAAAAGCCATAAAGTTCTCAGGAGAAAACATAGATGTAAAATCTTTTGTTACTTTGGATTAGGCCATGGTTTCTTATATATGACACCTCAAGTATAAGTAACAAAAGACAAAATAGATAAAGCAACTTCATTAACATGAATTATGCTTTGAGATTAATATACATCAAAACATTTATGCCTCAAAGACCTATCAAGAAGCTGAAAAGACAGTCTGCAGACTGGGAGAAAGTATTTGCTAAGCATATATTTGATAAAACAGCTTCTTCAAAACCTTAAACATAGAGTTATTAATACCATTTAACCATGCAACTCCTGTATATATAGCCAAGAGAACTGGAAATGTGTCCACTCAAAAACTTGTATATAAATAGAATTATTCAGAATAGCCAATAAGTGGCAATGATCCAAATGGTCATCAACTGTTGAATGAATAAACAAGATGTGGTATAGCCATGCAATGGGATATTATTCAACTATAAAAAGGAATGAAGTGCTGATTATGTGCTATAACACAAATGAATCTTATAAATATTATGGCTGGTGAAAGAAACTAGACACAAAATGCCATGTATCATATGATTCCATTTACATAAAATATCCTGAATAAGAAAATTGATAGAGATAGAAAGTAGATTAGCAGTTGTCAGGGTTTGGAGGGACACGGAAGGGGAATTAGGACGTTTATGCTAATGAGTATAAGGTTCCTTTGTGGGGTGATAAAAAGGATGTAGAATTAGATAGTGGTCTGGGTTGCACAATTTTGTGAAAAACCACTGAATTGTAACGTTCAATCATCTGTGTTTTAAATATATACATATACATACACTCACATACACACATAATTCTCTATATGTCCATTATACTTCAATAAAATGTTGAAACAAATTAATAAATTTAAAGGACAAACTTTATACATATATGAAACCTTCAACAGACTACTTCTCACTTCTACTAGCCCCACAATTCTAATCCAAACTATCAACATCTCTGCAAAAATATTCCTCACTGATCATCCTGCTTCTAATTTTGCCCCACCCACTCTTCTTCCCAGCAACAGTCTATGAGCTACACCAAATCTGAGTCCTCTTTTAAAAATGTAAGTGAGCCCTGACCAGAGTGGTGTGGCTCAGTTGGCTGAGCATCTTCCAGCAAAGCAAAAGGTCACAAGTTCAATTCCCCACCAGGACACATGTCTGGGTTGCAGCTCAGTCCCCATTTGGGGGCATATGAGAGGCAACCAATCAATGTTTCTCTCCCTTTCTTTCTCCCTCCCTTCCTCTCTCTCTAAAAATAAATAAATTGTTAAAATCTTTAAAAAATAAAAAATGTAACTGATATTATGCCATTCGGATTCAGATCTCCACTGGCTTTTCACAATACTCAGAAGCTCTGCTTTTACCTGATTTACATGTATGGCTCCGACCAATTTGCCTTGAAGAAATGGTTCCATGGCTAATAAAATTTTGAAAACCTCTTGGAGGGCAAAATAGCTGACAGTCATGTATCCTGTCCCTTTTTGCCTTCAACCATGAAAAGTCCTTGGGTGGGAGGAAAAAATCCTGGGAACAAAGGCAAAAACGTAGGAGATGAAAGAAGACCAAGATTGGGCACCCACTCAACAGAGCCAGTTCTCTGCTCTCTCTGTCTACACCCCTTAGTAACAGGTAGTTCAAGTGATGGGCACATTTGGTAACAGCACTCAAAAGAGCTTGACTACTTTACCTGCTCAATTAGTTATCAAATATTTATCAAGAACTTAGCTCTGTGCTAGTGAGCACTATCTTCGAGTGTCTGATGCCCAAAGTTCTGGTCCAGCTGGGACAGATAGTGTGGATTGTTAATTTGACAAACAAGATTGATTTTCAAGGGTCCACTACTGAAACCATGGAAGGTTCCATCAGAGAGACGAAGATAGCCACCAGTGTGGGTAAGCCAGAGGACTGCTTCACATTAAGTAAAGGCTGTTAGAAAAAGAGGTAGAGCTTCTAATTCAGACTGATAGATTTTCTGGCTTCCTCTTATTCTATCATCCCTCTCTGCCAGGGCCCACTGTCTCCCCTAAAGATTTGTTTACAAGTCATTTCCCTGTTTTTATGAGTAAGCAAATCATGACACAGAAATTTCAGAAGGCCCTGAGACTTTCATTTGTCTGTTTCAGATCCGATACAGAACATGTTCTTCCTCCTGCTAATTTTGAGCCTGGGGACGCAGCTTCATCAGACAACAGGTAAGAATGGACAAAGGGAGGGGCCTGAGAAAGAGGAGCAGATGATGGCCCCTAGCTGAAGCCAATGTTCGAATGTGGTCCTGAGGCTGAAGGCTTTCTTTGAGGGGAGGTGTGATTACTGGCTGTTACAAGTACAGCAAAAAGAATGGTGGCTTGTGCATGCCCATGTTCCTGTCTTATGAAAACAGGGAATGAGAGTATTGGTCTATCTAGTCCCACTCTTCCATGAAGATGGTGACAAGAAGACAGAACCACTCAGACCATGCACCTCTGAACTGATAATAAGAGGGCATTGGCTGTTTGTCCCAAAAAGTGAGGTGCCAAGCACCTGTCCCCTTGTCTTCTGGCAGGGAGAATGAGGAGACAAAACTCAGGGGGATGCCTAGAGGACCTTGTTACTCTAAAGAGTCTTTTGCAGACATTCCACTGATTATTAAATATTCACTGGAGTTCATCTTTTAAAATGCAACAGTAACAGCCACTGGCCATTCACACAGTAATTGTGGATTACTTACTTGAATTGGAAAATCACAGTCTTTATAACATCTAAGTGTGTAATGAACTTTAATGCGATGCCTTCGGATATTAAAGAAAGGTATTCTACCAGAGAAGGTGTGGATGGGCAGGAAGGAAAGCAGTTTCTGAGTTTGTTGACCTCCTAGGCAAGGTACTTCAGACCATTCGAGTGTGCTCTCAGGATCGTGAGTGCATTATTTTGGGTGAAAATCAGGAAATAAGAGAGGAAGACAGAAGTGGGCACAGGGGATTAAGTCCTCAATGAGAGCAGCTCCAATCCCGTGGGAAGCTATCCAGCATTCTGCCTTCTATTGAGAAAGAATGGCTTCTTTAGCACTGGTAACAGTTTGAAGAGCTTTTCCCTCCCTTCCAGGTGGTTCTGAACTGTTCTTTGCTCAGTCACATCCCTCTCCCTCCCTTGGCTGACAGCCTGGCCTGGTAGTAGGGGGCCATCCTTGGAGAACACCCTAACATTCTGCACACTCCAGTCCTGCTCTGCACTGACAGCTAAAGAAATACTTCGTGTTTCCTTTCTAAGACACCCTGTCTGGCTCCGATTTTAGAGTCATCTAAAAGTGCAAATGCTTCCTTGCTACCAAAAAACTTTCAGTTTCCATAAAGGGATAAGAAAACCAAAGTGCAAAAGGGTCTGAAGCTGCTGTTCCCAGGTTGCTGACAGGACTGGGGACTCCGGGAGAAACCCTGGGAATTGTGCAACCTCTGTTTCTAAAGATTTTATTTTTTTTTTAATTTATTTTTCGAGAATGTGGAAGGGAGGTACAAAGAGAGAGAAACATTGATGTGTGAGAGAAACATCAGTTGGTTGCCTCTTGACTTGGACCACAAGCCAGGCATGTGTCCTGACCAGGAATCCAATCAGCGACCTTTTGATTCACAGGCCAGAGCTCAATCCACTGAGCCACACTAGCCATAGCTGATCAGCACGTTTTTACATGCTTATTGACCACTCATATATCTTCTCTGGTGAAGTGTGTATTCAAATTATTTGACCAACTTTAATTGGGTTTTTTATTTTCTTATTGTTAAGTTTTAAGAGTTTGTTACGATTTTGAATATAAGTCCTTTATGAACTATGCAATACACAAATATTTCTCCCTATTTGTGGCTCATTGTTTCATCTTTTTACGGTATCTTTTGCAGAGCACAGGTTTTAATTTGATGAAGTTCAATAGATCAGTGTTTTCTTTTGTGGATTGTGCTTTTGGTATAAGATCTGAAAAACGGTTTAACTGAAGCTCAAAAGACTTTCTTCTGTATTTTCTTCTAAACACTGTATAGTGGTACATTTTACATTTAGGTTAGTAATCCATCTTGAGTTAATTTTTATATAAGGTGTGAAGGGTTTTTTTTCTTTTTCTTTTTTTTTTTCATCTGGACATTGAGTTGTCCAGCCCCATTTGTTGAAAATACTATCCTTCTTCCATTGAATTGTCTGTGCAATTGTCAAAAATCAATAGGCTATATTTGTGTGGGTCTATTTCCGGACTATCTATTCCGTTCTTTTGATCTATGCATATATCTTCCACATATATCACGCTCTTAATATTATAACATTATAGTTTATTTTTTCTTGTAGTATCTTACAGTTTTATTTCAAAATCTAATGACATCTTGTAAACCATCTTATAAAACATTTAAAGGGCAAATATTTATTTTTGTATTTTATCATGTCTTGGAGGAAAAAGTAACCCAAATTTTACTCTTTTCATTGATATTTCCTTCTTTCTTCATCATCCAAAGATGGATAAACACCACAGGGACACGTGCCCATGGTGATGCTTGAGGTCCCTCTGGGGCAGGGACTACACCCAGGGTCACTCCACTCACCTGATCTTCAGCCTCCAACACTACTTCTGCTGACCCCTGAGGTATACACAGCAGAAGAATCAGGGTGGGGAGAGGATTTCTAAGAGATGAGAAGCCTCCATGCAGAGTACCTATAAAGCGGTGCATGAGTCAGGTGCCTGGAGCAGACGTCTGTCTTCAGAAACTAGAGTTTTCTGAAAACTGTGGCTGTGTAAAGCAGCCTCCAAGTGCATTAGGTAGGAAGTATAAATAAGCCTAAGTTTCTTAACAAGCCAGTTGTTAAATGGAAAAAAAATATATAAAATTAGCTTAAAGAGGAAGCTATCTTGAGACGTGATGCAAATGATTCATTTTGTTTTTCCTGGAGCTGTGTCTGGTGTTGACTTCCAGTGATGCCTGACTGCAAATAAAAACCAAAGTTACCCCAAGAACTGTCAAAAAAACTCCAGCATTATTGGTGTAACCTAATCCTATGTCTGTGTCACTGGATTATATACATCCTTATTTTTTCTTAAAAATATGTAGATTCAGTGGACCAATATAATGTAAAATTATGTATATATTATATGAATTTTTAAAAGGCTCCAGGAACATTACTCAAGGTATCTGCTTTAATGTGTCTAAGGAACCAGCATGTATGAATTTCTCATGCCCTGGCTGAGTCCTTTACTCTTAAATATAGTCAAGGGCCCAAATGAATGGGGAAAACCAGTTTTCTCTGCTTAATTTTGTAGTTGTGGAAACTTTCCAATTTTCTCCTTTGTTTGATAACTTCAGGAGTTCAATGCTAGGTTGAAGCTTATTTTAATAACCATGAGGCATATAAAATAGAAAACAAATGTCTTTTCCTTAGCATAAAGATGAAAAGTATATCTACCTCCTTCATAGATGCAGTATATGACAGTGGATACATAGTCATATCTGTAAAGTTGTTAGGAGTATAGGTTTTCAAGTCACAGAGATGAAATTTGAATTCCATCTCCATGAGTACCACTCTTTGACCTTGGGCATGTATATCATTTTTTAAGCCTCAGTTTCCCTATCTGTAAAATGGGGATAGTAACTTCCACCTTGCAGACTTTTGGAAACATCAAATGAGATGATGATGTAAAGGTTAGCCCAGTGTCAGGTTCATTGTGTTTAATAAATGTTAACCATTACTCTATTTCCTATTAAAAGTCCAAATGCAGCCCGGTGTATAACTCTGCTTCTCAAATGTTAATGTGCACATGATCACGCCATCGACATTAAGATGCAGATTCTGCTTCTCTAGGTCTAGGGCTGGACCTGACATCCTGCATTCTTAACTAACTCCTGGGTGAAACTGAGGACAACACTTTGAACAGCAGGATGATAAAAGATGTTTGCAGGTGCAGGTGTTTTATTTGTCTAACCAATGATTCTCAATGTTCTCTGCCCATCAGAAGCTTCCAGGGAAATAAAAAACAAATTGACACTGGCCTTACAAAAGAATTAGAATTTAATTTAAAGGATCCTAAGTGGAGCCAGGGCATTAGTTTTTTTAAAAGCCTCCCCAAATAACAATTAATGTTCTAGTTATTCTCAGCTACTCAGATACATGATTCATGTTTGCTAATTGCTCTTTTCTCTGTAAACATTAGCTGAAAAATGTCATCTGTAGGAGAGGTGGCATACTTTATGCCTGCAAACCCTGTACTCACATGCCCTATACAAGGCAGATGGGGGAAGCAAACAAAAAATGGATTTTTGCCAAAGGCCCAGACAGTAAAGAGGGGAGTTCTGCTGTATGCTACGGGGAGTTCCAGAGGAAGTTACAGGCGTTCTTCTCATGAAAGGAAAGCATAAGTGTGATAAATAATTTGTTAAATAAATTCAACAGAGACTACACCCAAAGTCCTCTAATTCTTCTTCTTTTTTTAAATAAGCAGATTTATTCACAGTTATTATAGTTACTGATCCATGCTATCTTATTTTGGTTTCTTTTTTTTAAAATTTGTATTATTTTTATTTATTTTTCTTTTTTTAATTGTTGTTCAAGTACAGATATCTGCATTTTCCCCTGGTCAGTCCCCCCCAACCCAGCCATTCCCACCTGCCTCCCCTGATCCCACCCCCCTCCCTTGGATTTGTCCATGTATTCTTCACAGTTGTTCCTGAAAACCCTTCCCCCTTTCCCCCCATTATCTCCTCCCACCTCCCCTCTGGTTACTGTCAGTTTGTTCTTAATTTCAATGTCTCTGGTTATATTTTGCTTGCTTGTTTGTTTTGTTGTTTAGGTTCCTGTTAAAAGTGAGATCATATAGTATCTGTCTTTCACCACCTGGCTTATTTCGATTAGCATAATGCTCTCCAGTTCCATCCATGCTGTCCCAAAGGGTAAGGTGCTCCTTCTTTCTTTCTGCTGCGTGGTATTCCATCATGTAAATGTACCATAGTCTAATTCTTCTTATAGCTCAGACTCAGCAACTAATCTTCCTCACAAGCCCTATTTCTCTTCCCTGTTTCCTCTTTTACCATGTGTAATTAATTAAAAGAAGGGCATGCTATGAAGAGAGTAAAAGTAGTGTAAATTCTTGAACCCAACACATAGAAAATAGTTAATACATATTTGATAAATGAATAAATTTATAAATATTAATCTTCAGGGAAGGGAAGATTTGGTGTCAAGTAGCTCTGTCTATATTTATCTATAGATATAGATATAGATATATTTTATTCCTCACCCAAGTCCATGCTCACTAATTTTAAAGAGAGAGGAATGGAGGGAGAAAAACGTTGATATGAAAAACATCAGTCAGTTGCCTCTCACATGCACCTCAACAGGGACCAAACCTGCAACCCAGGCATGTACCCTGACTGGGAATTGAACTTTCAAACTTGTGGTTTACTGGATGACACCCCAACCAACTGAGTTACACCAGCCAGGGCAATGCTATCTTAGTTTTAATGGGACTTCCTAACTCAAGTATTTGAAGATTATTCTTATCATAGAGGGATATACCTTTAAGAGGATCTTATTTTGGAGACTTGGGGTGAGAATTATAACAAGTGCTCAGTGGATTCTAGAAAATGGAGTCATACAGGAAATTTGGAAGCACAACATCTCTTTTCACATATATCATCTCAGAGTATTCTCAACCTGGCCAAGCAAATGCAGGTGTGATTGGCATTGTTTTACATAAAAGCAGTCATGTTATATAGCCCTGCCTCACCCCCATCCTGCACAAAAGAAGGCTGAGTAGATGTAACTCCTTTCTGTACCATAGATCTCTGTTACAAAGGCACATTAATGTTCTAGTAATGGTTATAACAGGGGTTGGAAGCAAGATGTAAATTTGTCAGTCGTTTTTGATAAATCAAGTTTGTGGATAGCACTTACAATCAAGTATGCTGTGTGGTGATTAAGAATGCCAGTTTGTGTGATGTTGGGCAAGTCATATTCTGATGAGAGAAAAACAGAAGTCAATATGATTATGCTCATCTTTTCTTTCTCCCTTTCCCTCTTTCTGCCCTTTATTTGCCAAAACCTTACCTGGAACTTAATATGTGCTAGGCACTGGAGGTATCAAAACAAACTCAACCTGGTCACTGCCTTCAAAGACTTGCAAGATAGCAGGAGGAAAACCATGAGTAAGAAGAGAATTGCAATGTGAATCATTTAAGCAACTTAGAGAAACCCAGAAATTGCTTATACCATGAACTCTATTGCCTAGGATGGTCAGGGAATGAGCTTTCCTGGTTAAAAAAATACTGTGGTTAATAAAGATTGGCCAAGTATTCCACATGTAGATTACCACTGTCCCAAGAGTTAAAACAGGGTACAAAAGAAAGGAACCAGTGTTTGCTGATCACCTACTACCTACCAAAATAAGGTACTTCATGTATGCCATTTCTTTTAGTTTTTCCAATACTGGGAGGTAGGTATTAATCTTGTGCCTTTACAGGTAGAGAGACAGACTCATAAAGGTTAAATGACAGGATCAAGATCAAAGGGCTCAAGATCCCAGTGCAGTCAGAATGTGAACCCAGGTTCATCTGTCACTAAATCCAATGCTCTTCATACCACATTTTACATGGAAGCAACTCCTTGAATAGCATATGCTTGGAAGCCTACCCAATATTTATTGTAAGGTTGGTTTGACTGATTAAATTAATGAATGGATGCAGCAAGGCCTACTGAACATAACTTGATCTGATCTTCATCATGATTCAGAAGCTAGTCCAGGATGGTGCTACACCTCAGTCCTAATGACTATCCATTCATTAATAATGGAAATAGCATAATTTTATACAGTTTCTCACACTTAATTTGTGCATGCACTGCCTTCCTTAGTTTGCCATGTTTGACTACACTTTATGTTATTGTTTTTGTAAAATTCTTTAAATCAATGCAGCTTTTATGTTTTGAACAAAATGACATGCCCTGTGGTAAATGGAAAACCAGCTGGCACTGGTACATAGAGGATAAGAGCAAATGTAAATGCAGTGAAAGTAAAGTGGTATCATTAAAGTCCACCCAGATCCTATTACCTGCCTGGAAGCAGCCTATTTTATTAAAAAGAAAAATATTCATTGTTAGAGGTAAGAGAGTCTGGTTGCAAATTATGTGTAATTTCAAAAGTTGAAATAAAACTGAAGAAGAAATACATTTCTCCTGGAATTTCCTGAATTCCTGAATAATCCAATTCCTTTTAGGCCCTCATTCTACTCCATCTAAAATCATCTTTCATGCTTCTAATAGTATGTACCTGGCATGTAGCAGGTACATACTTAATACTAGTTATATTCTTCCTTTCCCATTGTTGATAGAAAATAAGCTTCTGTGATAGACTTGTAAGATGTGGTGGTTAAGAGCAATTGGGATTTAGCAATTCTTGGGTCTGATCCTGGCTGTGCAATCTTAGGCAAGTTGCTTAACCTTTCTGCATCTATTTCCTTTCCTAAAAAAGAGGATGGTTGTACTTCACTGATTTCCTGGGAAGACTAACTGAGGTCATGTGTTAGCAGAAACCTAACATATAGTAAGAACTCAACATGTGATAGTGGTTATTATTACAATCACTGGTGCAAGGTAGGTGATATTTTGCAGAGAAAGATGTAATTGGATCCACATGAAAACAGATGAGCCTGGGTGATAGGTGGTAGGAAGGCAATCAGCTGTACGGGTTGGGTATGTTGAGGGAAGAGAACTATTTCAGAGTAGTGGATCAAGATGTCCACTCTTGCCCAGATTGGATGAGGAAAGGAGAGAAAAGAGCCCAAGCAATGCCCAGATAATGACAGGTATTTTCTAGAAAACAGGGGTGGACTGAGTCTCCTCAGCTCCTACTCTGTACAGAACTGAAATGTGAAGGCAGACAATGGGAGAACATCTTGTTTTCTGTTCAGCTTTATTCACAGTGACAGTCCCTAAGGATTTGTACATAGTAGAACACGGCAGCAATGTGACCCTGGAGTGTGACTTTTACTCTGGAAATTATCTGGAAGTTGAACATGTAACAGCCACTTTACAAAAGGTGGAAAACAACACATCCTCGCACAGTACCACTTTGCTGAAGGAGGAGCTGAAGGGGAAGGCCTTATTCCACTTCTCCCAAGTGCAAGTGAGCGATGCGGGGAGATACCACTGCCTGATCGGCTTCAGGACCACTTGGGACTACAAATACCTGACTCTAAAAGTCAAAGGTGAGTAGTTTCAGGGACTGGAATCCGTAGACCTATAGCAAGCTCAAGCAAAAGCTGGGAGGATGGTTATAAGGAGACAGAGCTATCTCAAAGAAAAGAAAAGCACCTGTTCTGAAGTAATTTTTGACAAATGAGTATAAAGCAGCTGAGGTAAGGGCAAATGGGGGCAGGAGTTACAGAAATAATTAAAGCTAGAGGAAGCCAGGAAATGAGACCTTGAAAGAAAGGTGAGAGGGTGCCAAAAATTGGCTGTGCCTAATTCATAGGTTTTGCGAGGACCAACACTAACTTGATTATTAAGCTACTCTCTAAGAACAACTTACTCCTCCAGTCCAGAGTTATTTAAACCATGGTTTTCCATCCATTTATGGATTAAAATATCAGTTTAGTAAGTAGTAAATCAGGTGGATATTTTTCCCAAACATAAGAAAATAAGTAGAATAGAATATATCCAGAAGGTATCACATAGTAGTGCTAAGTGTTGTCTTGTGAAACTCTTGTTTCAGAGGGTGTGTGTATATTGGCTCATGGTGTAAAATATTTTTCTCACTGAAGGAGGCCCTAATAGAGTAAGCAGCTGATAATAAAAGATGAAGTAATTTTTGACATATAAATCATAAGGCTTTCAAAGAATGAAATACATTACTGTCCCTCCACCAACTTATTTTTTTGAGCAAGATTCCTTAGGCCTTATTGCTACAAAATAATGAGAAATAGAAATAGAATTGATGCTGAATATTGTCTCATTTCAATAATAAGTCATATGCACCCTCAGATTCATGAACAAATAGGGAAAAAAGCCCCATCCATCTCATTAAAAGATACATTTCAAGTAAACTTTTATTTTTTATGTTTAATAATTATCAGTATTCATACTTTATGTTTTGATTTTACATGTGCTAATAATAATGGAAATTAGATTTCAATGCAGAAAACAGCTTTGAACACTTAAAGGCTTGAGGTCACAAGAAAAAAAAATTAATTTCAATAACCATACATATTTTGTTGCTGCAAAAAAACATGGGTAATCAATAAAAGAGCTTTTAAACATGTTGCATTAAGATAAAATCCTATAGAAAAAGTGGAATGGGAACTGGGGTTCAAGGAATAAAAAGAAAGTAAAGGTCTGACCATCAGGGAAGAATTTTTGTATTTATTTTTCAGTGGATGGCGGTGTGTATAAAAGACACCTTCTTTGAAATCTAGATGACATTGGATGCATATGTAAGAGTGAAATAATTGTTTTACTAAAAATATAAATGTTTCTTAATTGCTAAATGTCATATATTTTCCAACCTAGAAGCATAAAAACTTTAAGAATCAAATTAATATAAGAGAGGGTGCATACTGCATCATAATTCTTTTAGGAGAAATAAAAGCAAAAAAAAAAAGGTTGAAGATCAACAAAGTATTTTACCCTGATCAGCTGGAGAGTCCAGAGAGTGAGTAGTAGGAGACTGCAGCTTTTGAAAAGCCAGGTTGCAAGTGCAAAACTATGAGTAATCTGTCTAAGGAAGGGCAGGAAAATGGCTAGGGAAAATAGCACAGTGGCTCTGAGAGACTGGGAGAGCCCAGGAACCTTCATCTCTGAATGAAGCTGGGGAGATCCAGGCCCCTAGTTAGTGTTTGCTTAAATGAAGTAGCACTAGAGGAAAGATGAGTTTTTTTCTTAAAATGCCTGCACTATAGCATAAACCTTGGAAGTAGGGTTGTTAGCACTTTCTTTAGTGTCTAGGCAACTATTCATATTAAATACAATGAAAAGAGAACTGATTAACTAATTTCAGAAGCATAGGGGAAAAATATGAGGTACAATGGCTAGAGAGTCCAGAGAGTGAGTAGTAGGAGACTGCAGCTTTTGAAAAGCCAGGTTGCAAGTGCAAAACTATGAGTAATCTGTCTAAGGAAGGGCAGGAAAATGACTGGGAAAAAGAGCACAGTGGCCCCGAGAGACTGGGAGAGCCCAGGAATGGAGCCCACAGGTTGAACACTGGCCTGTAAAGAATCCCTAACAGACACAGAGCAAGTACTAAGGAATGAAAGGACCAAATCAACCTGGAGACCTGGGTAAAGCATGAGGATGTGGATGGAATGAGCTGAGACTTACAGTAATACTTCAAACCAACAAAAAGGCCCAAGGGCTAGAGAGTGCAGCTTTAGCAAGTGGAGGAAGGAGGCAGCATGGCTTCCATTGTTCCTTTCAAGAGAAATTATTTTCACCCTAAGAAGGGAAGGCAAAGGGCACAGGGGGAAACAGCCTGAGGGAAGGATGCTGGTAGTGAAAAGATAACTGAATTCAGCCTGTAGGCCCAGACAAAGCATTTTCTGAAAGAAGTTACTGATGGGACTTTGCTCTTGTTATCTTTTCTCCATTGGGGAAATAGAAGGGAATAAGGAAAGAAAATGATAAATTTCAAAAAAGGGGGGGAACTCATGGGAATTACAGCCTGTTTATAACCTGATGTTCTTCTCCAGGCCTTTTAACAGGCAAATTGAGCATAACCTGCCTGGATTCTCTAAGGCCAAGGCATATAGAACTACATTTTTTAAAAACCTTAGTCACTATCCTTATGATGATAAAGCAGATAATACTATGTACAGCTTAATCTTTATTTCAGAGCTACTAGTGTTGCCAGTAATTTATGAATGGTATAGTGAGAGAAAATGGAAACCATTTAAACCAGTGGAAATGTAAATCAAGTAAATAGTAATTATTTTCATGGAATAGATGAAGAAGCCAACCTGGGAACAGGGAGGCAAATCAGCAATTTGCAATAGCTGGAAGCTGACACCACCCTGGGCTGGAGGGAAAACAGGGAAAACAGGAGGGCAGGGTTAACTGAGCCCAGGGCAGAGTCACATGACAGACACTAGAATCCCAGTGGACCTGTCCAGTGGTAGCTGGAGCCAGGGATGAGAGGTAGCTGTAACTGGAGAGGCAATTGTAGCACACAGCATACGGGAGAAGTACCCTAACTTTTCCCTCTTTCTTGTCCTACATTCTTCCCACCATGCTCCTATTGGCTGTCAAGAACCTGAAATACACAGCTGGCAAAGTCAGCCTTCCTGTAATAATGAGCAAAGTAAAGTTGAGGAATGGATCTAAGCACAAACATGACCAGGACCCACACAGCACACAACTTGTTCATAAAGTAGTAAAATGTGGGTTGAATAATGTGTACTTAACTGTAACTATAATAGACTGAACAACTAGTAGTTGTTGATGCAGGGCCAGCAAAAGGGTGATTGGTGGTCTTAAGTCACCTGGAGATACTCTCCAATTGCCAAGGGGTCTCTTCAAGCCAGCCAAGATGGGCAGTAGTTCATTCATTTAACAAAATTGATCTTGTGACCTTAGGCTGTGTTAAAACCCTGTTTGGGGCTGTAAGTGTGCTTAGGGCATGGGACGTAATTAGTCACCCCATACTCTGTATTGTTTGGATAATATCTGGAATATAGGTCATGTTACATTGGGAAAAATAAAGTTGAATACAGAGACTGGTAACTAGAACTGGATTTGACAATAATGTCCTGTGAAAATGAATGAAAGTAGACATGATTTGACTTCCAGTCAAGATGGCAGCATAGGTAAACATGGCTTGCCACCTCACACAACCACATCAAAATTACAACTAAACTATAGAACAACCATCACTCAGAACCATCAGAAATCGAGGTGAATGGAAGTCTGACAACTATGGAATTAAAGAAACCACATTCATACAGACTGGTAGGAAGGGCGCAGACATGGAATGGGCTGATCCCACATCCACATGTGGTGGATAAAAATTCAGGAGGGATATTTTGGGAGTGAGAAGTCCCAGCCCCACACCAGGCTCCCCAGTCCAGGGTTCCAGTGCCAGGAAGATAAGTCCCTATAAGTTCTGGCTACAAAAACCAGCTGGGACTGAGTCGATGGAAGAATCTTCTAGAGTCCCAAGCAATATCTCTTAAAGAATCCATACATGGACTTACTCAGACTCACTCCCTCTCAGCACCAGTACAGGTATAGCAAATTAAAGGCACTAGTGGCATACAGGGAGGAACTGAAATGTCTGGCATCAAGGCGAGGGTTGGGGGACAGCTTTCTCCCAGACAGAGAGACAAGCAGAGGCCATTGTTCCTTTTCTGAACCTTCTCCCAACAGAGCCACAGAGCTGGCAGGCGGGTGCCGCATCTTAGACTCCATCAACATGGCTAAAACAGTTTATACTACCCTGGAAATCCCCTGATATTCCATTCCACACAACTTATGGGCCCAACCAAGCTGTTAGCAGTGACTTTTCTATGTGAATGCCTGGCTCATGGTTCATAACTTCCTAAATTCTGTCAAACAAGCAACAGCCAGCCTCAGTGAGGCCCTAACCTCTATACCTCCTGCTAAGTGGCCCCAAGCTTGGCACTAGCAACAGCCAGCCTAGATTCACAGCATGGCTTTGCCTGAGGATCTCCAAACCCAGCACAAGTAGCAGTCATCTGCTTCCTTTATAGCTCATGCAGAGTAGTCTCAGGCAGAACACAGGTGGGGGCTGAACTTGGCCTTCACCACCTGGGAACCCAAGAGCCTGTGCACTCACTGGACAGCTATAGACCACATTGTAGTACCACCACACTAATCCTGCACAGCTTATCACAGAGGGTGGAGGTTGGTGGTCAGTGGACACAGCCAGTCCTTGCAGCTGACTGGCCTGATTCAATCCCTCCCATTGACCTGCCAACAGCAATCAAGGCTCAACCCAAGAAGAGGGTGTACTCAGCCCACATGAAGTGCACATCTCGAGTATCTAGTTTGGGTGATAGGGGACACTGTACCACTGGACCCTACAGGACACCTACTACATTAGGCCACACTACCAAGATATGGAGTCAAAGCTGCTCTACCTAATACATAGAAACAAATGCAGGGAGGCTGCCAAAATGAGGAGACAAAGAAACAAGGCCCAGAGGAAAGAACAGATCAACACTCCGAAAAGAAACTAAATGAAATGGAGATAAGCAAT